CGTCCTCCATTCGCTATTTAAGTGCATTGATGTATTTTTTTCCCACTGCCCCTGTTTCGATACAGGTGCATGATAATGGTCCATTCTAAATCAAAACAAATGTCACACATATATTATTTAGTAAAGACAAGTATTTAGTAAAGACAAGTAAAGACAATATTAAATCAAGAATAGTCTGATGGGTGACAATATTAGCCTATCACTTGTGAATTCTATATTACCACTTGTGAATGATGTCCAGCATAAGAAACAATGCCTTTTTTTTGCGACCTTTTCCAATCATAGTCACACACCTCATTTAGCCTAGCCCATAGGCCTACATGTTTTAATAAGGTTTGTATCACAACTAAAGTGGCCAAATAACTTCTTAAAATGAAGCACATTCATCCGCTTTACAAGGGGTGTAGAGCATTACTGGCATATATAAGCAGTGCATGAGTTTCTAGTTTGGGGAAGATCATTTTCACCATAGAAAAGCACCTTTATAATAAAAGCATTACATGCATAATTGCATTTTCGGTCACTTTTGATAACGGTGTTTTCCGCTAATGGAACATTCGCGATTATAGCCTACTACCATGTGTGCATTGCTGTGCTTATAATGTGAAGAAATAGACTAATAATTTATCAACATTTTAAGCTAAATGTTCTGATCTGTCGCATCCCACAACTGTTCCATGCAAAAGGCATGGATTTTTTTAGGGTGCATTACGGCCACAAAGGGGATGCCGCCGTGGAATTCGAGGCATTATCAAGTGCTTGTCAAATTGTGAATGAGAGACTATTGGAGTGTGTACAGCCTGCGCAAAAAACTAAGCAGAGCTCATGCCTTTCAAGTAACTTTTTCTCATCAAGCAGCCTTACAATGTATTAAAAATTTAAACATATAGCCCAACATTTGTAGAACAACTAAAGTTACATTCATTACTCTAAATTAAGCATATAGGAGTACCGATTTCTTTGTTAACCGCTCACAACAGAATAGCCGCATGTGCGCACTTCCTCAAATTGTTTGGAGAAAATATTGATATTTTATTCAACTTTGTTGAATTGTATTCTTCATACTATGAAATAATATAAGATAATGTGACGGAATTATAAGCAAATCTTGTCTGCTAAATGAACTAGGGTAGCCCACTGCCATTTGGCATAGCCACATCAGGACCTAACATAAGGACAACTCAGTGTATGCTACTCTTTTCTTCTGAAATAGACTACATTTTCTTCATATCATGCTTCTTTAGACCTGTCTAAAATAAATAATGGATTTATTGTGAACGTGTGGGCTATATTACATGGATTTATTATACTTTTTAAAATGACTTGTAGGCTATGTGTGGAAGCCAGGAGATGCTACATTTGTTAATGTTAATTGTCAATTACCGTGAGACCGATTTGCTTGACAATCAATGGCTGACGAAATTTCTTGACCGCCACAGCCCTAGTCATGACTCACATCAATACCATCATCCCAGAAAACCTAGACCAATTCCAATTTGCATACCGCCCCAACAGATCCACAGATGACACAATCTCTATTGCACTCAACACTGCCCTTTCCCACCTGGACAAAAGGAACACCTAGGTGAGAATGCTGTTCATTGACTACAGCTCAGCGTTCAACACCATAGTGCCCTCAAAGCTCATCACTAAGCTAAGGATCCTGGGACTAAACACTTCCCTCTGCAACTGGATCCTGGCAACAACACATCTAGCACACTGATCCTCAACACGGGGGCCCCTCAGGGGTGCGTGCTTAGTCCCTTCCGGTACTCCCTGTTCACCCATGACTGCGTGGCCAAGCACGACTCCAACACCATCATTACGTTTGCCAACGACACGGCGGTGGTAGGCCTGATCACCGACAATGATGAGACAGCCTATAGCGAGGAGGTCAGAGACCTGGAAGAAGAAAATAAAAGAAAGGCCGAACACGCCCCTATTCTCATCGACAGGGCTGTAGTGGAGCAGGTTGAGAGCTTCAAGTTCTTTGGTATCCACATCACCAACAAACTATCATGGTCCAAACACACTAAGACAGTTGTGAAGAGGGCACGACAACACCTATTCCCCCTCAGAAGACTGAAAAGATTTGGCATGGGTCCTCAGATCCTCAAAAAGTTATACAGCTGCACCATCGAGAGCATCCTGACTGGTTGCATCACCGCCTGGCATGGCAACTGCTCGGCCTCCGACCGCAAGTCGCTACAGAGGGTAGTGCGTACGGCCCAGGACATCACTGGGGCCAAGCTTCCTGCCATCCACAACCTCTATACCAGGCGGTGTCAGAGGAAGGCCCTAAAAATTGCCAAAGACTCCAGCCAACCTAGTCATAGACTGTTCTCTCTGCTACCTCATGGCAACCATTACCAGAGCGCCAAGTGTAGGTCCAAAAGGCTTCTTAACAGCTTCTACCCCCAAGCCATAAGACTGCTGAACAGCTAATCAAATGGCTATACGGACTATTTACCCTGCTGCTCCTCGCTGTTTATTATCTATTATCTTTACCCCTTCCTACATGTACATATTACCACAATTACCTCGACTAACCTTTATCGCCACATATTGAATCGGTACCGGTACCCCCTGTATATAGCCTAGTTATTGTTACTTTACTGTTGCTCTATTCAGAACCCTTTACTTTTTCCACATTTTGTTACATTACAGCCTTATTCTAAAATGGATTAAATTAAAAATGTAAAGGGTCATCAATCTACACACAATACCCCATAATGTCAAAGCAAAAACAGGTTTTTGGAAATGTTTGCTAACTAAAAACAAAACTGAAATATCTTATTTACATAAGTATTCAGACCCTTTGCTATGAGACTCGAAATTGAGCTCAGGTGCATCCTGTTTCCATTGATCATCCTTGAGATGTTTCTACAACGTGGTCCTCTGTAGCTCAGCTGGTAGAGCACGGCGCTTGTAACGCCAAGGTAGTGGGTTCGATCCCTGGGACCACCCATACACAAAAATGTATGCACGCACGACTGTAAGTTGCTTTGGATAAAAGCGTATGCTAAATGGCATATTATTATTATTATTATTATTATTATTATTACAACTTGATTGGAGTCCACCTGTGGTAATTTCAATTGATTGGACATGATTTGGAAAGGCACACACTTGTCTACATAAGATCCCACAGTTGACTGTGCATGTCAGAACAAAAACCAAGCCATGAGGTTGAAGGAATTCACCGTAGAGCTCAGAGACAGGATTGTGTCGAGGAAAATATTTGGGGAAGGGTACCCAAAAATGTCTGCAGCATTGAAGGTCCCCAAGTGGCCTCCATCATTCTTAAATGGAAGAAGTTTGGAACCTCCAAGACTCTTCCTAGAACTGGCCGCCCGGCCAAACTGAGCAATTGGGGGAGAAGGGCCTTGGTCAGGGAGGTGACCAAGAACCCGATGGACACTCTGACAGAGCTCCAGAGTTCCTCTGTGGAGATGGGAGAATCTTCCAGAAGGACAACCATCTCTGCAGCACTCCACCAATCAGGCCTTTATGGTAGAGTGGCCAGATGGAAGGCACTCCTCAGTTAAAGGCAGATGACAGCCCGCTTGGAGTTTGCCAAAAGGCAAATCCAATACAACACATTACTGAGTACCACTCTCCATATTTTCTAGCATAGTGGTGGCTGCATCATGTAATGGGTATGCTTGTAATCGTTAAGGACTGGGGAGTTTTTCAGCATAAAAAATAAACGGAATGGAGCTAAGCACAGGCCAAATCCTAAAATGGTTGTCTAGCAATGACCAACAACCAATTTGACAGAGCTTGAAGAATTTTGAAAAGAATAATGGGCAAATGTTGCATAATCCAGGTGTGGAAAGGTCTTAGAGACTTACCAGAAAGACTCACAGCTCTAATCGCTGCCAAAGGTGCTTCAACAAAGTACTGAGTAAAGGGTCTGAATACTTATGTAAATGTGACATTTGTTTTATATATATATATATTTGCAAACATTTCTAAAAACCTGTCCTTGCTTTGTCATTATGGGGTATTGTGTGTAGATTGATGAGGGGGAAAAAACAATTGAATCCCTTTTAGAATAAAGCTTTAACTTAACAGAATGTGGAAAAAGTGAAGGGGTCTGAATACTTTCCGAATGCACTGTAAGTTGCATGAACTAACTCTGTGTGCAATAATAGTGTTTAACATTATTTTTGAATGACTATCTCATCGCTGTACCCCACACATACAATTATCTGTAAGGTCGAGCAGTGAATTTCAAACACAGATTCAACTACAAAAAAACATGGAGGTTTTCCTATGCCTCGCAAATAAGGGCATCTATTGGTAGATGGGTAGAAATAAAAAAAAGCATGCATTGAATATCCCTTTGAGCATGGTTAAGTTATTAATTACACATTGAATGGTGTATCAATACACCCAGTTACTACAAAGATACAGACATCCTTCCTAACTTAGTTGCCAGAGAGGAAGGAAACCGCTCAGGGATTGGTGACTTTAAAACAGTTAAAGAGGTCAGTGGCTGTGATAGGAGAAAACTGAAGATGGATCAACAACATTGTAGTTACTCCACAATACAACCTAATTGACAGAGTGAAAATAAGGAAGCCTTTACAGAATACAAATATTCCAAAACATGCATCCTGTTTGCAACAAGGCACTAAAGTAATACTGCAACAAATGTGGTAAAGCAATTTACTTTTTTGTCCTGAATACAAAGCGCTATGTTTGAGGCAAATCCAATAGAACACATTACTGAGTACCACTCTCCATATTTTCTAGCATAGTGGTGGCTGCATCATGTAATGGGTACACACACAATTATTAGCGGCATTCATTGTCAGTAGATAAATCCAACAAAGTCAAAGATATACTGTATACAGCCTTCTGTTTATAACTGTTAATGCCCTTCGACATTCTTACTTAAACATTTTTGTCTCCTTTTTCAGAGTCCATGCCACCACATGAATAACAACTAATATTCAGAAAACTGGTTCAGCTTGGGACGGGAGACAAAAAAGATGGCACACAATAAGGGGTCATCACTCACTGAAAAATATGTTGGAAGTGAATTCAGGGATTCCATTTCACTTCTGGATGTTTTGTACGCAAATGAATTTGAAGAAGAGGACATAGACTCAGCAGTAGCTAAGAAGACTGAGGCAGATTTTTACAGAGGAGCCCCACCTCATTGGCTTAATTTCTACTGGGCTGAAAGGGCAACGTCAGCTGATAAAACAACCCCCTTTATCAAAAGAGACGGTTACAGTGAGCTGATAAAAAATATTCAGAAACGGTGTAAGGGAGACCTCACTTCTACCATCAAGCTGCTGCATCAGCCAGGCAGCGGGGGAACCACTCTGGCCAAGCAGGTGCTCTGGGATATGAGGAAAACACTGAGGTGTGCTGTTCTAACAGGCCCTACCTCAGACATCACCGCTATCGCCAAGCAGGTGATTCACCTTTTCACTGCAGGCAGTCAACGCAACCAGAACACTGTGCTCTTAATGCTGGAAGATGAGTGTATTCTGGAGAATCTGCAGGATGCCATCATGAAAGAGATTGCAGAGAGAAACATCACGACCCACATGCCTGTGGTCATCATTTTAAATTGTGTACGTAAGGCAGTATTCAAACAAGAGGACCATAACAACTCAAGACATGTTATTCTCAGGACGGAACTTTCTGAAGCAGAGAAACAACAGTTTGAGGAGAAACAGATTGAGATCAGTCGAAGATACAGCAATGAACACAAACAGTTTCATGGCTTTAACATAATACGAGAACATTTTAGTGGAGATTATGTTAGAAAAACGTGTGCCCTTTTAGGAGATGTTAGGAAAAATAGAAGACCTAAAAATTCCCAGCTTCTAGCATTCTTATCACTGGTGAATGCCTACGTCCCTGGCTCCCACCTTCTGCAATCTCAATGTCAGGCATTCCTTGGACCTCCAGATCCCATTTACGGAGGTCCTTCCTTTGAGCAGCGAATGGAGCCTTTCACTCATCTGATAGTGACATTCCCTGCACGACAGGGACAAGACAAACATGTCCGCATGGCTCACCCACTGATTGCACAGCAGTGTGTTGAGTTACTGGCTACGGCAGGTGTGACCAGGAGTGATACAGCAAGGAACTTTCTGACAGAATTTTGTAGAGAAGATGTGCAACAATTTTTAGTTCAAGACATGCTAACAAAAAGAGAAATGGATGATGAGAGGAAAGACAAGTTTTCCAGGTTGATTCAAGATATTGAAGGCAAAGAATCCAAAAGCAATTGTGTATCTGTTTTACGTTTAGCTTCAGAGAAATTCATGCAAAACCCATTTTTTCCTCAAAATCTTGCTCGTTTTTTTTACATTGAGACAAGAGACTATTTTAAAGCGGTGAAGTGGGCAAAGATAGCGAAAGACAGAGATCCTAAGAGTTCATTTGTTGCTGACACACTGGGGCAAGTATACAAGAACCAGTTGAAGAGCAGGATCGAAGAAGAGCAGGGTTCCACCAGGGTCCCTAAAGAGCAGGGTTCCTTCAAGGATCCTGAAGAGCAGGGTTCCATCTCTGCACAAGACATTTTGCAACTGTCAAAAAAGGCCTTTGAGGCTTTCAAAGATGAGGAAAGGGCTGCTGAAAATGAGCAGGGAGCAGACATGCAAGACGATGGTATGACCAAAGTGTCAAGCATCTTTAACAACAGAGGACTATTTGGTTATCTACAGGTTGCCAACATTGTTTTTGACTCGCTTGTCTCTCTTGACAAACACTGGCAAAAGGTTCTTACCATGGAAATATCAGCTGACTCCTTCTTCATATCAACTGGACAAAAAAAGCTCTTGAAGTACAAGTCACTCATCAGCAGCCTCAGGGATGAGGTGGAGAGGAAATGTGAGTTTTTCGATGGTTACCTGACTTACTCCAAACCCAGCATAGAGAAAAATGAACCGCCTTACTTTTGGACTGATGTCAAGAACTGCTACCGCAAATATGTGGGGACACGCACACCTATACACTCAGAGTTTGCAATAGGTATACCCCTCCAGAAACTCAAAGAAGAAATGGCCATTGCCTTCCCTGGACTGCTTTCCTGTCTTGATAAGGGCTATGATAAAACTCACTTGCGCCGAATAACAATATTGTGGGAGGAAATAAAAAAAGAATGGGAAAAAAAGAAAGATGGTGACAACAAAGCTGCCCAAAACTTCATCCTTGCCAACATCATCTTAAGCAAAGTGGAAGCAGCATCTCCAGTGCTTACCCCTTTGCCAATCCTAAGACATATTCTGGAAAGACATCTATTGACCAATTTCGGTAACCAAACCCCAGAGTTTTACTTCTTAGTCCTTTTGCTGTTTTGGCCCGAGGAGCATAAGAAAATGGGACTCAATGTTGACCTCAACAAATGTGTTCTAGAGATGCAAGAGTCCTACGAAAACACATACAAGAAGCATCTTCGCTCAAGGTACCTTCGCCCCCTTATTTTCCTGGGAAAGGGTGAGGGTTTGAGCAGACTGGTTCATAGATCAAAAATAGACAACCTATTGGCAAGGGAGAATCCAACGGCAGGGTCAGACTCTATAGATCAAAAGTGTAGCAGTGGTGAGGTGTGGGGAAAACCCATTGTCCAGGATCTTCTTCTTCCAGTCAATGGAGTGGTTAGACAGCACAGGGTGTTTGCGTGTGTTGACGGCAAGGAGATTAAAGTTTGTGCCGATCAACGAAGCAACATTTGGAAGTCCGGAGATGTCTGTTTTTACCTAGGCTTCACCATTAGAGGTCCTGTGGCCTATGGCATACAGTACCCATCCCATCACGGACATTTATTCTATTCAGACATGATGACAGGGGGGGAGCCTCGTAAAATGTTGAAAGTACCTGACATCAAATCGATCAAAGAAGGTAAGACAGTTCTAATCCTCATTTTCTCATTTCATCTCTATATTCTATCACTCATGTTCATTTAAGTAAATTATATGTTCATGTGCTAAGTTATCCACAATACAGTGACTTCCAAACCCACCAATTTACACAGGGGAAACAGTGACGCTGGGAGCATTTGTGACTCATCTCATGGAGATCATTATTAGCACTAAATATCATTGTTATGATATTTGTGATATCATTGATTTGAAAATGCTTGTGTACCAGTACATTTAGACCACTGTATTATCACTGAGGTTAGTGCTTGGGGTGGTTGATTTTCTGATTGATGTGTCTGTCCCCAGGGGCTGTGAGAAGTTGCACAACATGTGCCAATGTGATGGTGAGTTAATGTTTGTTACAGTATTCATAGTGTACAATAGTAGTATATAAGTGTATGACAAATGCAACTTCTTTACCACCACCTACCGTATGTTGTCTGTGCTCTGTATTCATGAATATAATTTTTTTCTCATAAAAATCAGAAATATGTTGGGGAAATCCTACATCTCGCTCCAGTTTCACAGCTGACCTCTTAGAAAAAAGCAGTGCTTAATTTGTAAATTGGGAGGTGCCTGAACAAAATGTGAGCACGAGAGGGGGGTGACCTGGGGTGCTCTCAGGTACCAGAACCCATGACAAAACATTCACCTTCATAATAAAGCATTGCATAAATTATCAGCGCTTTTGCGTGCTGGCATACAGTAGTAAAGCTGGTTATAGAATTTGCACACACGTGCCCAAAAATTTGAAGCCTAGGGTTCAGGAAACATTTGACCTTTTATAAACGCATTTAATTCAATTTTACATCATTTTAGATGGCTGGAGACTTGAGCAAAATATTTTTTAATACCTCACAAATGATCGAAATGACAGGCTGCTTTGACAATGACAAACTTAGAATCAGAGATCAATAAATGCGACCTTGTCTTGAATCCATCAATAGCTTAGGCCTAGGTGTGTGGAGAAATTATAATCCTAAAAAAGCTTTCCAGTTTCACTCGCTCACCCAATGATGCACAGTTCACTCACCTGCAATGACCGATGCGCTCATGCTTTAAGCCATCTCTTTGTTGTTTTACTTTGTAAAACAATGCTGTTTGTTCAATAGGCCTATTTGGAAGTTGATAACATATTTTGTAGCCTACAGTCAGATTAGTCTTCTCTTTTCAGTAGAATCATTTGCTTTCCAAACTGTTCTTTCACGCGATTGTATACTGAACAAAAATATAAATGCAACATGCAACAATTTCAAAGGTTTTACTGAGTTACAGTTCATATAAGAAAATCAGTCAATATATTCATTATTCCCTAATCTATGGATTCACATGATTGAATACAGATATGAATCTGTTGGTGACAGAGACCTTAAAAAAAAGGTGTGGGTGTGGATCAGAAAACCAGTCAGTATCTGGTGTGACCACCATCTGCCTCATGCAGCGCAACAGATCTCCTTTGCATCGAGTTGATCAGGCTGTTGATTGTGGCCTATGGAATGTTGTCCCACTTCTCTTCAATGGCTGTGTGAATTTGCTGGGTATTGGCGGGAACTGGAATACGCTATCGAACACGTCAATCCAGAGCATCCCAAACATGCTCAATGTGTGACATGTCTGGTGAGTATGTAGGCCATGGAAGAACTGGGACATTTTCAGCTTCCAGGAATTGTGTACAGATCCTTGCGACATGGGGTAGTGCAATATCATGCTGAAACATGAGTTTTATGGAGGCGGATGAATGGCACGACAATGGGCCTCAGGATCTCAAAACTGAACATTTTAGAGTGGCCTTTTATTGTCGCCAGCACAAAGTGCCCCTGTGTAATGATCATGCTGTTTAATCAGCTTCTTGATATGCCACACTTGTCAGGTGGATGGATTGTCTTGGAGAAATTCTCACTAACAGGGTTATAAACACATTTGTGCACTACGTTTTAGGGAAATTAGCTTTCTGTGTGTATGGAACATTTCTGGGATCTTTTATTTCAGCTCATGAAACATGATATGGACACTTTACATGTTGCATTTAGATTTTTGTTCAGTATTATTGAAATATTCCGAAATGCCTGTTTTGGCTACATGCTGTTCACTGACAGATTTGCCATGATTCCCGACTGTAGGCATGCCTTGTGATTGGGCTACACACAATCCACAGCTAGGCTTTTCATTTTAAATAAGCTATTGATCCTCTGTGACAAAATTATAGGCCTACATCTGGTGTAGTATTCTGAATTAGAATTTTGACATTGCAAACAGTGAAAATAATTGTTCATGCCACCAGAGGTACCGGATCCTGGCAAATGGGTTCCGGAACGAAACAGTCCAAAACTGAAAGGTGCCGGATCCTGTTAAGCACTGGAAAAAAGGATTATAAAATGGTTCTTTGCGGAGGGATAGGGTTCTACCAACAACCATTTTTATCTGAAGAACCATTTTTGAGAGACAATGGTTCTTTGTAAGGCAAAATGGTTCTACCTTTAACATGCTAAGAAACATTTTTAGAAGAAAGGGTTCTTTGATTATGTTTTTTTAAGGCAAGAAGGATTCTTTGCAAGGTAAGAAGGGTTCTACACCCTTCAGAATCTGAATAAGCTTATTTATTGTAATTTCTTTCTTTTAAATAGTGCCTGGGCATTTATGTTTACCTCAGTATTTAAACTTTAACATCAGGAGTTAAAAAATATCAGTGAGAGTAAACCTATATGGGAATATTTGTACAGTGGTTTGCGAAAGTATTCACCCCTCTTGGCATTTTTCCTATTTTGTTGCATTACAACCTAAAATTAAAATGGATTTTTTTGGGGGTTTGTATCATTTGATGTACACAACATGTCTACCACTTTGAAGATGCAAAATATTTTTTCTTGTGAAATAAGACTAAAAAACAGAACTTGAGCGTGCATAACTATTCATCCCCCCAAAGTCAATACTTTGTAGAGCCACCTTTTGCAGCAATTACAGCTGCAAGTCTCTTGGGGTATGTTTCTATAAGCTTGGCACATCTAGCCACTGGGATTTTTGCCCATTCTTCAAGGCAAAACTGCTCCAGCTCCTTCAAGTTGGATGGGTTCCGCTTGCGTACAGCAATATTTAAGTCACACCACAGATTCTCAATTGGATTGAGGTCTGGGCATTGACTAGGCCATTCCAAGGCATTTAAATGTTTCCCCTTAAACCACTTGAGTGTTGCTTTAGCAGTATGCTTAGGGTCATTGTCCTGCTGGAAGGTGAACCTCCGGCCCAGTCTCAAATCTCTGGAAGACTGAAACAGGTTTCCCTGTATTTAGTGCCATCCATCATTCCTTCAAGTCTGACCAGTTTCCCAGTCCCTGCCGATGAAAAACATCCCCACAGCATGATGCTGCCACCACCATGCTTCACTGTGGGGATGGTGTTCTCGGGGTGATGAGAGGTGTTGGGTTTGCACCAGACATAGCGTTTTTCTTGATGGCCAAAAAGCTCAATTTTAGTCTCATCTGACCAGAGTACCTTCTTCCATATGTTTGGGGAGTCTCCCACATGCCTTTTGGCGAACACCAAACGTGTATGCTTATTTCTTTCTTTAAGCAATGGCTTTTTTCTGGCCACTCTTCCATAAAGTCCATCTGTGTGGAGTGTACGGCTTGAAGTGGTCCTATGGACAGATACTCCAATCTCCGCTATGGAGCTTTGCAGCTCGTTCAGGTTTATCTTTGGTCTCTTTGTTGCCTCTCTGATTAATGCCCTCCTTGTCTGGTCCGTGAGTTTTGGTGGGCGGCCCTCTCTTGGCAGGTTTGTTGTGGTGCCATATTCTTTCTTTTTTAATAATGGATGTAATGGTGCTCCGTGGGATGTTCAAAGTTTCAGATATTTGTTTATAACCCAAACCTGATCTGTACTGCTCCACAACTTTGTCCCTGACCTGTTTGGGTGCTCCTTGGTATTCATGGTGCCGCTTGCTTGGTGGTGCCCCTTGCTTAGTGGTGTTGCAGACTCTGGGGCCTTTCAAAACAGGTGTATATATACTGAGATCATGTGACACTTAGATTGCACACAGGTGGACTTTATTTAACTCATTATGTGACTTCTGAAGGTAATTGGTTGCACCAGATCTTATTTAGGGGGTTCATAGCAAGGGGGATGAATATATATGCCCGCACCACTTTTCCGTTATTTATTTTGTATAATTTTTTTTAACACGTTTTTTTATTTTATTTTTCACCAATTTGGACTATTTTGTGTATGTCCATTACATGAAATCCAAATAAAAATCCATTTGAATTACAGGTTGTAATGCAACAAAATAGGAAAAATGCAAAGGGAGATGAATGCTTTTGCAAGGCACTGTATCTGGTATTCCCTTAATAATTTTACATGTAGCTGACGTAGTGGTGTAAACAAATAACCAGAGTTGAGTGTGGCTGATAAATAACATACATTTTTCTAAACTAATCCAATCTGTTAGTAGTTGGACTTATTGCACTCATTACTGAGATGGCTGTTCCAGTTTAGATTATTTAGGTAGTCTCATTTTTCAATCTTCTCTACACTGGCAGTCATTCTTAATGCAGGTTGCGGGTGATACAAATGATAATTGTTGGATATCCTCACTGACTGGATTCCAATAGGAATTACACATTCAGAGTGTTTAATTTAGATTCAGATGGTTTACCTAGAGGGTTCTAGGTAAACCATCACTTTGCAAGCGAGCATAATGTGACTTGCAGGCCTGATGTGGCCGGTAAACCAGGAGTTTCTTAACACCACCATTTTAGGGTATAACTAAGCCCTCAAATAAAGGTTTTATGATATACAGTATGTAATCTATTGTCATAAAGAGTTTATTTTTAAAGGCTAATAAGGCCGGTGGAACCGTTCATAGAGTGTTCTAGGAAGAACCCTTCAAAGATTAAAGGGTTCTAGGCAGAACCATTCAAAGAGGGTTCTAGGTAGGACCATTTACAGGGGGTCCTATGAAGAACCCTACATAGAGGGTTCTAGGTAGAACACTCTGCAAAGGGTTCTACCTAGTACCAAAAAGGGTTCCCCTATGGGGACAAACCAAAGAACCCTATATGGTTCTACTTAGTACCTTTTTTTCTAAGAGTATATAATTCACATCAGAAACCATTCTAAGTAAATTGCAAATAAAGGTATAGAATAAGCAGGTTTGACAACATTGTAAAGGCAAGTTAGGCTTCAAAGTACAAAGTAAATCCTTTACCAACCTGGTCTCAGAGCATTTCATATTATTCTGTACATAAATCTGAGACCCTCCATGTAGTATGATATGTTACGTTTTGTATGGTATGTTAATTTGTGGATGTCCATCATCCATTTCATATGATATGTTACGAATAAAAATGTGTATCCTATGTTATGAATTGCAATTCGTATGATATGTTAGGAATTCCAATTTGTTGTGGCTAACATTAGCTAGCTGGCTAACGTTAGCTAGACTAGGGGTTAGGGTTAGGGGTGACGGTTCAGGTTAAGGTCAGGATTTAGGTTAAAGTTAGGAGTAGGGCTGTTGTGGTGACCATATTACCTTCACACCCACAGTCATGAGTCATGACCGCAGTAAAATTCCACGTGACCCTTGAGTCACAGTAATCTCCTTTTATGCACTCTGGACATGCTTTGGTATTAACCAACTTGCTAACTACCATCAGGTCCTAATGGCCTCCTACTCAGGGCTCTAACCCTCTGACATCAATACATAATGCAATCGAAAATCACATCAAACACTTATCACCAAAACAGTACACCTATCATCCTTTTAAAACTCACCTCACTGTGATGATCAATTTGAAGAAAGAAGTTCAACAGCAGGTTGAAACAGTGTAAAACATGGTTGTTGTGGATGTTGTTTCAAAGCCTAACACAACTAAATGGACAGGCTTTCAAAGCTGATGATTAATTCAAAACACCATATGTATATTAGAGCTTATGCTTATGCATTGGCTTATAAGGCTAAGCCCCCCCCCCCCCCTTTTGCTGTTGGTTCATTGATTGGGCTGCTTACAGTTAGCCTTCCATTAGTGAAATATTTTGAAGAGCCTAGTAATAGGGATTTTTTATTTTTTCATAATTATTGAGTGACACATTACCTACAGCTATACAGAATATCTCACCACCATGAATTTCCATCTCCTTCTCTCTCATTTATTAATTTCTTCAGCGCCCAGGGGCTGTCAACAGTTTAGTGAAATATGTTTTGTTGCGAAAACATATTACTATTGATGTTCCCGAACAGATTTCACTTGGTTTCCCAAATTAAGCACTGGTAGCTGCAGGAACTAGATTGGGGAGCCCATGGCATACTCCTCGAAAAGCGAGAGCATGCTCCTCGAATAGTGGTTGATGCATGGAGTGAAATAAGTGTTATTATATTTATTTCTAGCTGCTCATATTAAGCACATGCTCCTCTTTAAAACCGAAGTAGACCGGCGGGAATGCGCGCAGCCTCCATTCGCTATTTGAGTGCATATAGATGACATGTATTTTTTTCCCCTACCCATGTTCCTGCCCATTTGATAATGGGCCATTCTAAATCAAAACTCATTTTACATATTAGTAAAGACAAGATTAAATTGGGGATAGTCTGATGGGTGAAAATATGATCACTTTATGAGAGAACAGCTGTGCAGCCTGAGGCAAGGAACAAGAGTGCACGTTTTTTGTTGTTGTTACTTTCTCAAATCATCAATAGCCTATAGTTGCACAATGCAGCCCATACTGTATATGTTTTGTTTTCTAAGACATTCTAAGATTTTTATCATTCACAACTAAAGTTGCCAAATAACTCTGAATCTAGCATACAGGACCTGTTTCAAATTACCCTCAGCACAGCCACTTCATATGCGCACTCGCTATGTAATGGAGAAAATATCCTTTCTGTTTTATTCAGCTAAGTTCAATTATATTGTTCTTACTATAAAATCAGATAAAATAAAAGAATGGAAAGGGACTTATAAGCATATATTGTTAGCTAAATGAACAAGCTTACAGCGTATGACATGGTGCATAACCAGATAGTAGGCCAACTCATATTCGGTTCTTCTGAAATACATTTTCTTCATATCATAATGTTTATATAAAATTGAAATAAATAATGGATTTATTGTGATGGTGTATATTAAATTGATTTATTAGACTTTTTTAAATGTAGATGTTCTAAAGGTGCACATCAGTGGCTTGTATGAGTGGAGGCCTGGAGATGCTAAATGTGTTTATGTTAATTAACAGTCAATTACCGTGAGACCAGCATGCTTTTGCATGACAATAACCGGCTGACAACATTTCATGACCACCACAGTCCTAGTTAGGAGTTAGGTTAAAGGGTTGAGGTTAGGAGAAGGATTAGCTGACATGCTAAGTAGTTGCAAAGTAGCTAAAAAGTAGTATGTAGATGAAAAGTTGCTAATTAGCAAAATTTCTAAAGTTGTCCATGATGAGATTCGAACATGCATTTAGGTTGCTAAACATTCATATTAAACACCTACCCATCCACCCTGACCAGCCACTTTCCTTTTGTTTTTGCCTTAAGTAACTTATGTCTCATGTAACCATACCAAACGTAAAATATCATACTAATTTGAGTGTCCCGGATTTACATTTACTATGTTACATGTAGTCTGTGAGACCAGGCTGCCTTTACACTGTGATGTTTAAGAATTATGTAATAAATTCAGTGTATCTGTGAAAATCAGAGATCAATGTTCTCTTATTCAGGAGTCTACCAACTGGGTTCAGGTTGAGCCTGTGGTTTTCACTGAAGAAGGCCCAATGTTCAGGTACTCTCCTGGAATGTATTAGTCCCTCACCATATACATTAGGATAAAAGCTTTACGTTTTGTTATCCAACAATTCTGTCTTAAGATAATAATAACTAGATGGAATGTACAGTTGAAGTCAGAAGTTTACATACACTTAGGTTGGAGTCATTAAAACTCGTTTTTCAACCAGTCCACAAATGTCTTGTTAACAAACTATAGTTTTGGCAAGTCGGTTAGGACATTTTTCCAACAATTGTTTACAGACAGATTATTTCACTTATAATTCACTGAAGTTTACATACACTAAGTTGACTGTGCCTTTAAACAGCTTGGAAAATTCCAGAAAATGATGTCATGGCTTTAGAAGCTTCTGATAGGCTATTTGACATCATTTGAGTCAATTGGAGGTGTACCTGTGGAAGTATTTCAAGGCCTTCCTTCAAACTCAGTGCCTCTTTGCTTGACATCATGGGAAAATCAAAAGAAATCAGCCAAGACCTCAGAAAAATAATTGTAGACCTCCACAAGTCTGGTTCATCCTTAGGAGCAATTTCCAAACGCCTGAAGGTACCATGGTCATCTGTACAAACAATAGTACGCAAGTATAAACACCATGGGACCCCGCAGCTGTCACCTAAAGATTAACGTACTTTGGTGCAAACGTGCAAATCAATCCCAGAACAACAGCAAAGGATCTTGTGAAGGTGCTGGAGGAAACAGGTACAAAAGTATCTATATCCACAGTAAAACGAGTCCTATATCGACATAACCTGAAAGGCTGCTCAGCAAGGAAGAAGCCACTGCTCCAAAACCGCCATAAAAAAGCAATACTACGGTTTGCAACTGCAGATGGGGACAAAGATCGTACTTTTTGGAGAAATGTCCTCTAGTCTGATGAAACAAAAATAGAACCGTTTGGCCATAATGACCATCGTTATGTTTGGAGGAAAAAAGCGGTATCTTGCAAGCCGAAGAACACCATCCCAACCGTGAAAAACGGGGGTGGCAGCATCATGCTGTGGAGGTGCTTTGCTGCAGGAGGAACTGGTGCACTTCACAAAATAGATGGCATCATGAGGAAGGAAAATTATGTGGATATATTGAAGCAACATCTCAAGACATCAGTCAGGAAGTTAAAGCTTGGTCGCAAATGGGTTTTCCAAATGGACAATGACCCCAAGCATACTTCCAAAGTTGTGGCAAAATGGCTTAAGGACAACAAAGTCAAGGTGTTGGAGTGGCCATCACAAAGCCCTGACCTCAATCCTATAGAACATTTGTTGGCAGAACTGAAAAGGCGTGTGCGAGCAAGGAGGCCGACAAACCTGACTCAGTTACACCAGCTCTGTCAGGAGGAATGGGCCAAAATTCACCCAACTTATTGTGGGAAGCTTGTGGAAGGCTACCCAAAATGTTTCACCCAAGTTAAACAATTTAAAGGCAATGCTACCAAATACTAATTGAGTGCATGTAAACTTCTGACCCACTGGGAATGTGATGAAATAAATAAAAGCTTAAATAAATCATTCTCTCTACTATTATTCTGACATTTCACATTCTTAAAATAACCTGACTGACCTAACTGACCTAAGACAGGTACTTTTTACTAGGATTAAATGTCAGGAATTGTGAAAAATTTAGTTTAAATGTATTTGGCTAAGGTGTATGTAAACATCCGACTTCAACTGTACCTGCTAACACTTATTTAAAGAAGACAGTCTGACTTCATTGCATTTGTTTAATTAATTGTTTAAAAGAAATACAGTGTAAGTGAGGATCTACAGACAAGTTTAACAAAGTAAAGCAACCATTCTTATATTGGCCAACTGCTGATAAACAATTAAATACATGACTTACATATGCTAAACCCATTCTGTCTTCTTTTCATGCTGTCCCTAGCATGTCTCCACCAGGGCGCTACGAGTGCACAGTATCAGGGCTCCGGTGGGTGTGTAAAACCCATGTCAATCTGAAGTATCAATTCAGCTCCTGGGAGCTTCACAGGGCAATGATGAAAAGCTTGGGGTACAAGCAAGGAGGCCCCCTACTGGACATCACAATCATTTCAGGAGAACTGGAAGAAGTGCATCTGCCACATTTTGCCTGTTTCGGTATGTTTTATTGTTTATAACTAAAACATAACTGATGCAAACTACTTTTTTAAATCCTTGTTGATGTCAACCTAATGTTTATGCAAATGTACGGTTTTTGCCTCTGCAGGCGATGATCCCTCCTTTAAAAAGAAAGTGAGAGTTCTACATGTAGAAGACTGTGGCGTGTCCATAGTAAAAGTGGATGAAGTCACCCGCTTCCACGTCAAGATCCTCCATCCATCCTTCTCTCCAAAAGGAGTTCTCGTGAGATCTGGCCTTCGGGTGAAAGCGCACTGTGACTTGCTGCTCTACCAGGCCAAGACAGCATTCCTCACGCTACATGCATATCTGGTCCCCTGTGATTCCTCTGTAGAACAGGTTATTTCATCTTATTGTTCTCCTCTGTGATTAAATAATCTCTTAATGGTATCAATGCAGATAATACCAGTGGATTAAAAAAATAAGACATTTAATATATAGTGTATAATTGTCTAGATATTGCCAAGCTCCTATTCAGTGCTTCACTTGGGCAGGAGCTCACCGGAGCTGACTACCAGCACCTCAAATGTTCTACTGCTTGTTCCTCTTATAGAATTTTAGCTCAAAAGTATTGTATTGTGGATCTCCTCCACCTAAATATAAACAGTACAGGCACCCAAAATGAGTAAATACGGTTCCTACAGACGGAAAAACAGCTGTTTATTTTCTGTCCAAAAGCAGGGGAATTTGGTGGACTTATGGTGTTTGGAAACCGTGGGGGTCAGAGTCAGATTATTATGGTGGGAGATTATAATACAGTTTTAAGTACCTCAATGGACTGTAAATCATAAATCACACTACAAGCTATCACCCTCATGCACTTAGGGAAATTACAAATATCATGGACACATTAGAACTAGAGGATATATGGAGGCTTAAACATCTAGATTTAGTGAGATATACATGGAGGAGGCTTAATCAAACTAGCCGTCTTGATTACTTACTTGTATCCTTCGTGCTGGCACCAAAAGTTTTTTGAAAAGTGTTGATGGGGGTAGAATGCAGTCGGACCATCAAATAATTGGCATCCACATGACTCTTACAGAATTTCCACGTGGGCCAGGATATTGGAAATTAAATCAAAGCCTATCGGATGACAACCTGTTTTTAACCAAGACAAATGATATCATATCTGACTTTTTTCCTGCGTAACATAGGTACAGCAGATCCACTTATTGTATGGGACACTTTTAAATGTGCCTTCAGAGGTCATGCAATTCCATTCTCATCTTTAAAACAAAAACAATTTCATTCAAAAGTGTTCACATTAACAAAGGAAATATAAGAAATAACAGTACAGATGGATAGCAATAAAAACGGTACCGTAGAGTCACAGAATAATTTAGAGGAAAAAATTTAATAAATGGAGGAACTTATTCGGGAATTATCAAGTATAATGTATTATAGAAGTCAAGCGAATTGGATGGAAAGTAAAAAATGCTCAAAATTGTTTTTCAATCTTCAACATAGAAATGCTACCAATAACAATTTACAGAAAACTTGTTACAAATGATGGAGTCATCCATGATTCACCAAATTATATTCTGAAAGAGGAAGCAAAGTACTTTAAGCATAAATTATTATTATTATTATAAAATTATTTTCAGTTGTCTCTTTTTCCACTACCTAAGGATATTTTTTCCTAATAATAGTGTAAAATTAACAGCTGTACTGAAAGACTTGTGCAAGGGCCTAATTGCAGAGGATGACCTTCTTGATGCAATTAAAAGCTTTTAGGCCAGGGAAAACTCCAGGGCTGGATGACATACCAGTTGAGGTACAGTGCATTTGTAAAGTATTCAGAACACTTCCCTTTTTCCACATTTTGTTACGTTACAGCCTTATTCTAAAATGGATGGGGAAAAAATGCTTGTCAATCTACACAAAAATACCACATCATGACAAAGTGAAAACTGTTTTTTAGAAATTTTACCAAATCTATTACAAATAAAAACAGAAATACCTTATTTACATAAGTATTCAGACCCTCGAAATTGAGCTCGGGTGCATCCTGTTTCCATTGATCATCCTTGAGATGTTTCTACAACTTCATTGGAGTCCACCTGTTTTAAGATCAATTGATTGGACATGATTTGGAAATGCACACACCTGTCTATATAAGGCCCCACAGTTGACAGTGCATGTCAGAGCAAAAACCAAGCCTTGAGGTCAAAGGAATTGTCCGTAGAGCTCCAAGACAGGATTGTGTTGAGGCACAGATCTGGGGAAGGGTACCAAATAATTTCTGTAGCATTGAAGGTCCCCAAGAACACAGTGGCCTCCATCATTCTTAAATGGAAGAAGTTTGGAACCACCAAGACTCTTCCTGGAGCTGGCCTCCCGGCCAAACTGAGCAATCGAGGGAGAAGGGCCTTTGTCAGGAAGGTGACCAAGAACCCGATGGTCACTCTGACAGAGCTCCAGAGTTTTTTGCTATTCAAATTAGATCTAACAATAATATAGAGGGGATTAAAAACAAAGGTGTCATTGTACTCTGACGACTCAAAGTTCCTCTTAAATCCGCAATCTGGATAATTTTTCTAACCTCTCTCGATTACAACCAAACTATTATAAGTGAACCATATTAGGTATATTCGATTTTTTTTTAATGCAACTTATTTTAGCAAAATATATTTCACTTTATTTGGAATGGCAAGCCAGACAAAATAAAACATGCTCATTTATATAATGAATATGAGTTCGGGGGCTAAAATGATTAAATATTAAAGCATTAAACCTCTCACTAAAATAATCAGTCATACAAAAGTTATACTTAAACCCGAACTGGTTCTCCAGTAGATTACTAAGAATGGCTCATCCCTTGTTAAAAAATGGCATTTTCCCCTTTATCAAGATTATAATCTCTCACTTTCAGTTAATTGAAAATGTAACCTTTATCAAAATATCGTCCTTTCTAAAACAAGCCATGCAAAAAGCTGGTTGCAATTCCAGTTTCACCCTCCAGAAAAGACAGCACAAATATTACAACAAATAATATGGTTGAATTCAAATACTAACTGACATGTATAAGTACTATATACAGTGGGGGAAAAAAGTATTTAGTCAGCCACCAATTGTGCAAGTTCTCCCACTTAAAAAGATGAGAGAGGCCTGTAATTTTCATCATAGGTACACGTCAACTATGACAGACAAAATGAGAAAAAAAAATCCAGAAAATCACATTGTAGGATTTTTAATGAATATATTTGCAAATGATGGTGGAAAATAAGTATTTGGTCAATAAAAAAAGTTTCTCAATACTTTGTTATATACCCTTTGTTGGCAATGACACAGGTCAAACGTTTTCTGTAAGTCTTCACAAGGTTTTCACACACTGTTGCTGGTATTTTGGCCCATTCCTCCATGCAGATCTCCTCTAGAGCAGTGATGTTTTGGGGCTGTCGCTGGGCAACACAGACTTTCAACTCCCTCCAAAGATTTTCTATGGGGTTGAGATCTGGAGACTGGCTAGGCCACTCCAGGACCTTGAAATGCTTCTTACGAAGCCACTCCTTCGTTGCCCGGGCGGTGTGTTTGTCACTGCAGGATTTGAGTCCCTGGCGGCGTAGTGTGTTACTGATGGTAGACTTTGTTACTTTGTTCCCAGCTCTCTGCAGGTCATTCACTAGGTCCCCCCGTGTGGTTCTGGGATTTTTGCTCACCGTTCTTGTGATCATTTTGACCCCACGGGGTGAGATCTTGCGTGGAGCCCCAGATCGAGGGAGATTATCAGTGGTCTTGTATGTCTTCCATTTCCTAATAATTGCTCCCACAGTTGATTTCTTCAAACCAGGGTGCTTACCTATTGCAGATTCAGTCTTCCCAGCCTGGTGCAGGTCTACAATTTTGTTTCTGGTGTCCTTTGACAGCTCTTTGGTCTTGGCCATAGTGGAGTTCGGAGTGTGACTGTTTGAGGTTGTGGACAGGTGTCTTTTATACTGATAACAAGTTCAAACAGGTGCCATTAATACAGGTAACGAGTGGAGGACAGAGGAGCCTCTTAAAGAAGAAGTTATAGGTCTGTGAGAGCCAGAAATCTTGCTTGTTTGTAGGTGACCAAATACTTATTTTCCACCATAATTTGCAAATAAATTCATTAAAAATCCTACAATGTGATTTTCTGGATTTTTTTCCTCAATTTGTCTGTCATAGTTGATGTGTACCTATGATGAAAATTACAGGCCTCTCTCATCTTTTTAAGTGGGAGAACTTGCACAATTGGTGGCTGATTAAATACTTTTTATTACTTGTATATAAAAAAAGGGCCATATATGTCAAATGTACATGTAAACAAAAGAAAAAGCTGTAAAAACAACGTTTATTTTTGTCCTCCTGAGTGGATGTGCCGTAAAAAATTACACATAAAATTAGAGTCAGATATGGTTTTGCTGTGTCGAAACATCTCGCTGCAGTTTTTCTTGGGGTTGCCGGTTTTTCGGTTTAGAATATATTATATAGTTCATTCATTGACAGTTTCACACCACAAAATCCAACAAAATGTAATGTGTGAATGGTTTTGATAAGGAAATGTTGGCTTATGCTTCTTCAGGCTATGAAGAAAAAGGAGCAGTCTTATGGATACAGGAGTATCAGAAAGCCGCAACCAGTGAAGTCCCTTCGGATGAAGGATTGGTTCAGCCTCACAACATCATCTCCCTCTGCTGAAGTTAAACCTCCTGTATGGGTTGAGCTCCCACAGAATATCAATCTAGTCCAAAAAGCAATAGCAATTTTAATATCCTATAAAAAAAACTACCAAAAGAAACACCCTCTCATCTACTGTCTCCACAGAAAATGAAGCTGAGGTATGACAACACTACACCAAACTTCTTTGAGGTGTTCATAGAAGATGCAGATGTTGACTTTGGGATGAAGCTTATCAGTGACGTGGCGGGGGAAATAGTCTGGGATCATACAATACGAAAAGGTCAGAAAAAGATTATGCGAAAAATATCAGTGTCTCAACAGACACCATGTCAGTTAAAGTCAAAGATAATAATAATAATAATAATAATAATAATAATAATAATAATAATAATAATAATAATAATAATTCAATTTGGTGTGTTTTTCCCCCAGCTGACTACAGACACGAAACCACTCAGAATTCACAAAGTAAGTGTTGTAATATTCCTGTAAACATTAGAAGATCCAAAACTAAATGATTTTTCATTCAGCTTGGATCCCATCTCCGTCCTATGGATTAAAAAAATAAACAATGATTGGTGTTACTTGGATTATTATTTTTTACATGATAGTACTTTAAAAAGAAGTGGCAATATTTAGAGAATATAGTGGCAATATTTAGAGAATATAATCAAAATTACATTTTGTGAATAAAGTGGTAATATTTAGAGAATAAAAAGGCAATATTTCCAAAATAAAATGGCAATATTTGGACACACTTGGTGATTTATTAGATCATTAGATTTATAAGTGTGAGTGTGCAGTGACGCCTGTTTGAACGGGCGTATTAGATCATTCGATTTATGGCCGAATATTACCATATTATTCTCGAAATATTGTCACATTATTCTCAAAATATTGCCATATTATTCTCGAAATATTGTCACATTATTCTCGAAATATTGCCACATTGTTCTCAAAATATTGCTACATTATTCTCAAAATATTGCCACATTATTCTCAAAATATTGCCACATTTTTAAAGTACCATCATGCAAAAAAAATATCCAAGTAACACCACCTGTTGCTGTTTCTTTTTTTTCTCTTCACTTGGTTCTAATACTCTTCCGTAGCATCCAAGCTTCAGCACAATTTATCATGGCTGCGTTTAAAACTCAAAGTAGACAGCCCTCGGCCCTAAACCCTCAGCCCTTGAATGATGTTTTACATCGTCACATCCTAGTATACCTTAAATGTCCCTTACCCAATCATGGGAGAGTGATGATCGGAGAGGCAACGTCCTTGGTGGAAATTTTGAAGTTGAGCTTAAAAACAACCAACTTAAAGCTATTAATGTGTCTAGTAAGCTAACGTATCTAGCTAGCACCCCTGTCAGGTAGCTAGCTACAGTTACCCATAGCTGGCTAGCTAGTTTTATAGTTTGGTAACTTATTCCAATACATTTCAGAATTCCAAAAATGTTTATGAATCTAGTTACGTTTTATAGGCTCCTCACTACGAGACTAAGCCAATTTGCCAACGCTAAAATCAATGGCTATTTCTATTTTTTAGCAAGCTAGCTTCATATTTTTTCTGACATGCCGAAAATGCAGCCTTGTTGATTAAATTTGACACTTCGCGGCCACCAGAGTTTGACATGTGACTACAGTTTGCATTGTGGGTCATATCAAACCCGCAAGTGACCAAAGTTGTTCACTCGCACCCTCAAGATAAATCGAGGGCTGAAGTGAGTGAATTGGACCTCCACTTAAGATGGCAATCAAACTGCATCTGGTTTCGACTGAGATTCCCGTGAGGGAAAGTGGCTAGTGCAAGGGCTGAGGGGGTAAAAATAACGTGTTTAGACTGCAGACAATGTTTTTTATTTCGTTTTTTGTATTATTTTCGTTTTTTTTATTACAAATGTGAATTTCATCACTTTTAAATGCAATTGTCCTGCAACCAATCTTTACCTCAGACCAGCACTTTGTTGACCTCCACCGGACAGACCTGATCCAGAGAGTGAGCCAGGTGAAGCCCATCTTGGATAAACTCCTGGCCAAGAGAGTCATCACTGTCGAGGGCTACAGTACAATAATGGCCAAACACACCACCCAGGACCAGATAAGGGAGCTCTACATGGGACCTCTGAGGGCAAGCGGCAGCAGAGCGAAAAATATTTTCTATGAGATCCTGAAGGAGCTGGAGCCACTGCTAATCAAAGACCTGAAGGATGAATGAGGAGCTGGACTGGTGAATGGGGGGCATTTTAAGCTCATTTTAGGGGAAAGGGGCATAAATGATGGCAGTTACAGTTGGTTTGAAAACTTTGTGTTTACAAGAAACACAATATAAGAGGAGCATAGCATCATTATTTTATCATTCTTATTTTTCCACATGTAAATATTAGTAGCCAGCAGAACAGCAACCCAATGTTTTAGCCTGGAGGCTTTGCCAAATATATACTATTTGATAGTTGGGTTGGAATTGAATTTCCTCTGAAAAGATAAATGCTCAACCATGTCACCTAGATGCTCTGGATCATTTACAGACAAGAAAATATATAAAGGAAATATTTTATGACAATAGAAAAATATATAATGAAACGATGATGCAAAGAACAATTACATTATTTCATTTTGGCTATTTTATGAATGACAAGTCAGTGAGGGTAAGGAATACCAGTGATGTAAGTAAATATATGAAGATATGACTTTGTAAAGCTTTATGTACCCGCCTAATGAAACGTTTTACAGTAATGAATGATTTGTGACATCATTTTCACAACACAGGTATTAGAATATGTATTGAAATAAATACCTACTTACAGATGTGGCTTTTGTCCTGATTTAAATCAGACTAAACTGAAATGATGCAATTCTGTCATTGTGCTAAAATAAATATAAATTCTATCCCGTGTGGCTCAGTTGGTAGAGCATGGTGCTTGCAATGACAAGCTTGTGGGTTGGAAAAAAGCATAAAGTACAAAAAATGTATACACTCACTGTAAGTCGCTCTGGATAAGAGTGTCTGCTGAATGACTAAAATGTAAATATATATTTGCTAACGTATCAGTTGTTTTGATTGATCGTCTAGAATTTCAAGCTTCCAATACAGATAAAAACCTCAGTTACCTTCAATAAGATATACACTGCATGACCAAAAGTATGTGGACACCTGCTCGTCGAACATCTCATTCCAAAATCATGGGCATTAATATGGAGTTGGGCCCCCCCTTTGCTGCCATAACAGCCACTCTTCTGATAAGGCTTTCCACTAGATGTTGGAACATTGCTGTGGGGACTTGCTTCCATTCAGCCACAAGAGCATTAGTGAGGTCGGGTAATGATGTTGGGCGATTTGGCCTGGCTTGCAGTCGGCGTTCCAAATTATCCCAAAGGTGTTCGATGGGGTTGAGGTCAGGCCTCTGTGCAGGCCAGTCAAGTTCTTCCACACCAATCTCGACAAACCATTTCTGTATGGACCTCGCTTTCCGTTCTGTGAGCTTGTGTGGCCTACCACTTCGCGGTTGAGCCGTTGTTGCTCCTATATGCTTCCACTTCACAATAACATCACTTTATGTTGACCGGGGAAGCGCTAGGACGGCAGAAATTTGACAAACTGACTTTTTGGAAAGGTGGCATCCTATGACGGTGCCACGTTGAAAGTCACTGAGCTCTTCAGTAAGGCCATTCTACCGCCAATGTTTGTCTATGGAGATTGCACGGCTTTGTGCTCGATTTTATACACCTGTCAGCAATGGGTGTGGCTGAAATAACCAAATCCACTCATTTGAAGGGGTGTCCGGTATTCAGACCGCTTGACTTTTTCCACATTTTGTTACGTTACATCCTTATTCTAAAATGGATTACATTGTTTTTCCCCCTCATCAATCTACAAACAATACCCCATAATGACAAAGCAAAAACTGTTTTTTTTTATGTTTGCGAATGTAAATGTATTAAAAACAAAAAACGGAAATATCACATTTACGTAAGTATTTAGACCCTTTACTCTGTACTTTGTTGAAGCACCTTTGGAAGCGATCACAGCCTCAAGTCTTCTTGGGTATGACGCTACACGCTTGGCACACCTGTATTTGGGGAGTTTCTCCCATTCTTCTCTGCAGATCCTCTCAAGCTCAGTCAGGTTGGATGGGGAGCATTGCTACACAGCTATTTTCTAGTCTCTCCAGAGATGTTCAATTGGATTCAAGTCTGGGCTCTGGCTGGGCCACTCAAGGATATTCAGAGACTTGTCCCGAAGCCACTCCTGCGTTGTCTTGGCTGTGTGCTTAGGGTCGTTGTCCAGTTGGAAGGTGAAACTTCTCCCCAGTCTGAGGTCCTGAGCACTCTGGAGCAGGTTTTCATTAAGGATCTCTATGTACTTTGCACTGTTCATCGATTCTGACTAGTCTCCCAGTCCCTGCCGCTGAAAAACATCCCCACAGCATGATGCTGCCACCACCATGCTTCACTGTAGGGATGGTGCCAGGTTTCCTCCAGACGTGACGCTTGTCATTCAGGCCAAAGAGTTCAATCTTGGTTTCATCAAACCCGTTCTCTTAATGCATTGTAGTCTGTCGACAAAGTTCTAATTAAAAGCACACCGTATTTAAAGGGATGGCTTAAGATAAATGTACTGAAAACCCTATTGAATGAAAACTCCATGAGAGAATCTGTTGGCCAGCAAGTGGTAGCGTTTTCAGTGGTTGAATTACATTTAATCAGCACCTTTAAGGGAACCACACCTGCAAAGCCCATTACGCACCCACATAAGGTAAGTCTGAATATCAACTACTGAGAAGTGCTTAAGAAAGGCATAATTTCCTAAGTAGTAATCGGGCCCGAAGGGACCAGCTTCTGCATTCTTCTGAACAAACTAAATTATAGATAGCGGTAAGTGCATCGAAGGATTGCCTCATCAATTTCATGTTAAAATGATTTGCATCAAAATCCCATATTTCTCATTTACAGCTTGTTTCTAGCCTAAAGTGTTTCCCACGGGGGACCAGTATAACAAACTCTTAATTTTCATTATAAATGTATATGACATCAATCAGACATTTCAGCATAGATTAATGCAATATTAAGTGATTACTAATGGGTACTTGAATAGCTGGATAGCGTAATAAAAAAATGCAATCCTGCTCTTCTCTGCAGTATCTATCCGCATTCACTTTTATCACACTCCTGAATCTACACACTACACAAAACTGGCATGGAAGAAAAACAGGTATCTACAGTGGGGGAAAAAAGTATTTAGTCAGCCACTAATTGTGCTAGTTCTCCCACTTAAAAAGATGAGAGAGGCCTGTAATTTTCATCATCGGTACACGTCAACTATGACAGACAAAATGAGAAAAAAAAATCCAGAAAATCACATTGTAGGATTTTTTATGAATTTATTTGCAAATTATGGTGGAAAATAAGTATTTGGTCAATAACAAAAGTTTCTCAATACTTTGTTATATACCCTTTGTTGGCAATGACACAGGTCAAACGTTTTCTGTAAGTCTTCACAAGGTTTTCACACACTGTTGCTGGTATTTTGGCCCATTCCTCCATGCAGATCTCCTCTAGAGCAGTGATGTTTTGGGGCTGTCGCTGGGCAACACAGACTTTCAACTCCCTCCAAAGATTTTCTATGGGGTTGAGATCTGGAGACTGGCTAGGCCACTCCAGGACCTTGAAATGCTTCTTACGAAGCCACTCCTTCGTTGCCCGGGCGGTGTGTTTGGGATCATTGTCATGCTGAAAGACCCAGCCACGTTTCATCTTCAATGCCCTTGCTGATGGAAGGAGGTTTTCACTCAAAATCTCACGATACATGGCCCCATTCATTCTTTCCTTTACACGGATCAGTCGTCCTGGTCCCTTTGCAGAAAAACACCCCCAAAGCATGATGTTTCCACCCCCATGCTTCACAGTAGGTATGGTGTTCTTTGGACGCAACTCAGCATTCTTTGTCCTCCATCAGTGGTCTTGCATGTCTTCCATTTCCTAATAATTGCTCCCACAGTTGATTTCTTCAAACCAAGCTGCTTACCTATTGCAGATTCAGTCTTCCCAGCCTGGTGCAGGTCTACAATTTTGTTTCTGGTGTCCTTTGACAGCTCTTTGGTCTTGGCCATAGTGGAGTTTGGAGTGTGACTGTTTGAGGTTGTGGACAGGTGTCTTTTATACTGATAACAAGTTCAAACAGGTGCCATTAATACAGGTAACGAGTGGAGGACAGAGGAGCCTCTTAAAGAAGAAGTTACAGGTCTGTGAGAGCCAGAAATCTTGCTTGTTTGTAGGTGACCAAACACTTATTTTCCACCATAATTTGTAAATAAATTTATTAAAAATCCTACAATGTGATTTTCTGGATTTTTTTTCTCTCAATTTGTCTGTCATAGTTGACGTGTACCTATGATGAAAATTACAGGCCTCTCTCATCTTTTTAAGTGGGAGGACTTGCACAATTGGAGGCTGACTAAATACTTTTTTCCCCCACTGTACATTTTAAGCTTGGATAAACAAACATCCTCATGGCAACCAATAGAACACCAACCCTGCCAGATGCCTATGGTGGTACAATTCCATACCAATGTGACTCCCTGTCACTTCTGGATGTCTTGTGTGAGAATGAGTTTGAGGGGGACACAATCAACCAAACAGATGCCACGAGGGCAGAGGTCAACTTTTACCAAGGAGCGCCACCTCAATGCATGAACTTCTACCTGGCTGAACGAGAAGCAGCTGTGGATTCAACCTTCATAAAGAGGGCTGGATATCATTGCTTAAAAAAGCGGATTAAAAGTAATCAAAAAAGTTATCGCAGCACTGCCATTGTCAAGCTTATACATGAGCCAAGCAGTGGGGGATCCACCCTAGCCATGCAGGTGCTCTGGGACCTGAGGAAAAAGCATAGGTGTGCAATCTTAAAATAATCAACGGGGGCAAACAGCACCGCTATCACCGACCAAGTAATAAACCTTTTTGTGGCAGGAGATTCACAAAACACTGTGCTCCTCCTGCTTGAGGACGAGAACATGGCGGATCGCCTGATGAGAGAAATTGCAGAGAAAAAGATTACATAAAAAGTTCCTGTACTCATCATGTTAAACTGTGTGCGGAAGTCTTCTATTGCGGAACAGGACGATCCAACAATCAGAACTCCAGTGGTCCTCAGAAGACAGCTCTCTAAAGAAAAGAAACGAAATTTCAACAAAAAGCAGGATGAGATCCGTAAGCGCTATGCACACCAGCATACCCAGTTCCATGGTTTCAACATAATGTGTGGAAGTTTCTGTGAAACATACATCCAGGATAGCGTTAAGGCTTGTGTTAATAAACCAGCGCCATCCATTTTTATCATTGCTAAATTTCTACGTCCCTGGATCCTACCTTCTAGAGTCTGAATGTGTGGAATTCCCTGATGCAAGGTCTCAGGATTTTGAGAGCGGAATGCACCCTTTCAATGACCTCATAGTCACTTTCTCCGGACAAGAGGAAGACGATAAACGTGTCCAGATGAAGCATCCAATGATTGCTGATCAGTGTGTTAAGTTACTGGCACAGGGCGGTGTGACCAGGGGTGGCACAACAAGAAACTTCTTGAAGTACTTTTGTAAGGCAGAGGTGCAACAACATTTGGTGCCCGTCATCAAAGCCATGCTAACTAAGAGGGAAATCACAGAAGCAAAAGGAGGAGTGGAGGAACAGCAGAATGAAGAAGAGGAAACACAGGATCCCTTTTCCAAACTGATTCAAGATTTAAAGAAGAATGAAGGATTTGACATGTGTGAACACATTCTGAAAGAAGCAGTGGATAAGTTCGGGACAAATCCTTTTTTCCCTCAAGCTCTAGCACGCCTCTACATTGAAAAAGCTGAAAATTGAGCTTTAAATGCTAAAGAGAGGGATCCCAACAACTCCTTCATCGCAGATACTCTTGGGCAAGTTCACAAGGGCAATTTAAGGACGAAAATAGCAGACACAAAGTGTCCTGCATGTAAGATTTTGGGAATAGCAGGAAAGGCTATAAACACTTTCAAAGAAGAGGAGAAGGCTGCCGAAAAAGAAGTGGAACTAGAATCATACAGTTTCAATAACAGGGGAAGCTTTGGCTAGCTACAAGTGGCTAACTATCTTTTTGAGGCACTCACAATGCGCGATACTAGGTGGAACAACATTCTCACAGGGAAAAACGAAACCCTCATTGTAGCTTTAGGCTCTCCGCACTGCTAAAGCTAACTCTCTCTCCTCTGCTCTTGTCCTTCTAGACCTGTCTGCTGCCTTTGATACTGTGAACCATCAGATCCTCCTCTCCACCCTCTCCGAGCTGGGCATCTCCGGCGCGGCTCACTCTTGGATTGCGTCCTACCTGACCGGTCGCTCCTACCAAGTGGCGTGGCGAGAAGCTGTCTCCGCACCACGTGCTCTCACCACTGGTGTCCCCCAGGGCTCAGTTCTAGGCCCTCTCCTATTCTCGCTATACACCAAGTCACTTGGCTCTGTCATATCCTCACATGGCCTCTCCTATCATTGCTACGCTGACGATACACAACTAATCTTCTCCTTTCCCCCTTCTGATAACCAGGTGGTGAATCGCTTCTCTGCATGTCTGGCAGACATAGCAGTATGGATGACGGATCACCACCTCAAGCTGAACCTTGGCAAGACGGAGCTGCTCTTCCTCCCGGGGAAGGACTGCCCGTTCCATGATCTCACCATCACGGTTGACAACTCCGTTGTGTCCTCCTCCCAGAGTGCGAAGCGCCTTGGCGTGACCCTGGACAACACCCTGTCGTTCTCCGCTAACATCAAGGCGGTGACCCGATCCTGTAGGTTCATGCTCTACAACATTCGGAGAGTACGACCCTGCCTTACACAGGAAGCGGCACAGGTCCTAATCCAGGCACTTGTCATTCCTGCTCTCCGCACCAAGTCTGTGGTGCGCGTCGCCAGCCCAGTCCGGCCCATCCAAGCTTCCCGCACCAAGCCAGTGGTGTGCGTCGTCAGTCCGGCACGGCCCGTACCTGCTCTCCGCACCAAGTCTATGGTGCGTTTCGTCAGCCCTGTCCGGCCCGTTCCTGCTCACCGCACCAAGTCTGTGGTGCGCGTCGCCAGCCCAGTCCGGCCCATCCAAGCTCCCCGCACCAGGTCAGTGGTGCGCGTCGTCAGCCCGGTCCGGCTCATTCCTGCTCCCCGCACCAAGTCAGGGGTGCGCTTCGTCAGCCCGGTCCGGCCCGTTCCTCCTCCACGCATCAAGCCAGGGGTGTGCGTCGTCAGTCCAGCACAACCCGTGCCTGGGTCATGTCCGGAGCCGGATCCGCCGCCGAGGCGGAGTGCCCACCCGGTTCCTCCCCTGTTGTGGTTGTTTGGCGCGGCCGGAGTCCGCGCCTTTGGGGGGGGGTACTGTCACGCCCTGGCTCTGGGGACTATGTTATGTTGAGCCAGGGTGTGTAAGTCTATGTTTTGTATATCTATGTTGGCCTGAGTGACTCCCAATCAGAGGCAACGAGTGTCAGCTGGTTGTCTCTGATTGGGAGCCATATTTAACTATCGGTCTTTTCACTTTGTGTTGTGGTTTCTTGTTCCTTTTGGTTTGTGTGTATCGAAGGACTTCACGTTTCGTTCGTTGTTTTGATCGGGTGATCTATTTAATAAATAATATGTACGCATTCAACGCTGCGCATTGGTCCTCCTCCTTAAGCGAACGTGACAGTCTTTATGTCTGGGTGTGGTCTTTCACCTCCTCAATGTCTTTATGTCTGGGTGTTGTCTTTCACCTCCTCAATGTCTTTATGTCTGTGTGTGGTCTTTCACCTCCTCAATGTCTTTATGTCTGGGTGTGGTCTTTCACCTCCTCAATGTCTTTATGTCTGGGTGTGTGGTTGTGTCAAGTTCTTCAGCACCCTGTTCCCACAGACGGAGCAACATACAGTGCATTCGGAAAGTATTTATACCCCTTGACTTTTTCCACATTTTGTTACGTTACAGCCTTTTACTAAAATTGATTAATTTCATTTTTTCCCTCATCAATCTACACACAATACCTCATGATGACAAAGAGAAAACACATTTTTTGAAATGTTTGCAAATGTATGAAATATAAAACACAGAAATCCCTTATTTACATAAGTATTCAGACCCATTGCTATGAGACTTGAAATTGAGCTCAGGTGCATCCTGTTTCCATTGATCATCCTTGTGATGTTTCTACAACTTCATTGGCCATGTGTCTCTGTACAGAAGGATTTCTCCCCTGTGTGAAACCTCATGTGAGTCTTCAGTTTCCCGTTGCACCGGAACTGCTTCCCGTAGTCTTTACAGTGGTAAGGTTTCTCCCCTGCGTGGGCCATCTGGTGCTTCATCAGGTTCTTCCTGAGCGAGAAATTTGGGAAAGTTACCAGAAATTTGCAACCCTTAATAGGATAAGACGAGACAAAATTAATTATCCAATGGGGTAAAATTATCTTAGACACAGTACTACTGTATTCCAAATAAAACTATACATTGAACACTCGACACATACACCATGCATACAGTTCCTTCAGAAAGTATTCATACCCCTTGACTTATTCCACATTTTGTTGTGTTACAGCCTGAATTCAAAATGTATAAAATTGATAATGACAAAGTCAAAAACGGTTTTTATAAATTTTGGAAATATATAATTTACATAAGTATTCACAACCCTGAGTCAACACTTTGTAGAAGCACCTTTTGCAGTGATTACAGCTGTGATTCTTTCTGGGTATGTCTCAAAGCGCTTTACACACCTTGATTGCGCAACATTTGCCAATTATTATTTTCAAAGTTCTGCAAGTTCTGTCAAATTAGTTGTTGATCATTGCTAAACAACCATTTTCAGGTCTTGCCAAATATTTTCAAGTAGATTTAAGTCATAACTGTAACTCAGTCACTCAGGAACATTCACTGTCTTCTTGGTAAGCAACTCCAATGTAGATTTGGCCTTGTGTTTTAGGTTATTGTCCTGCTGAAAGATGAATACATCTCCCAGTGTCTGGTGGAAATCTAACTGAACCAGGTTTTTCTCTAGTAGTTTACCTGTGCTTAGCTCCATTCCGTTTCATTTTTAACGTGAAACACGCCTGAGTTCTTAACGATCACAAGCATACCCATATCATGATGCAGCCACCACTATGCTTGAAGATATGCAGAGTGGTACTCAGTAATGTGTTATATTGGATATGCCCCAAACATTACAATTTGTATTCAGTGCAAAAAGTGAATTGCTTTGCCACATTTTTAAAAAAAAGTATTACTTTTGTGCCTTGTTGTAAACAGGATGCATATTTTGGAATATTTGTATTTTGTACAGGCTTCCTTCTTTTCACTCTGTCAATTAGGTTAGTATTGTGGAGTAACTACAATGTTGTTGGTCCATCCTCAGTTTTCTCCTATCACAGCCATTACTCTGTAACTGTTTTATAGTCACCATTGGCCTCATGGTGAAATCCCTAAGTGGTTTCCTTTCTCTCCGGCAACTGAGTTAAGAAGGATGCCTGTATCTTTGTAGTAACTGTGTGTACTGACACACCATCCAAAGTGTAATGAATAACGCCACATTTTAAATACAAAAAAACATCTACCAATAGGTGCCTTTCTTTGCAGGGCATTGGAAAACATCCCTGGTCTTTGTGGTGGAATCTGTGTTTGAAATACACTGCTCTGAGGTACCTTACAGATTATTGTATGTGTGGGGTACAGAGATGAGGTAGTCATTCAAAAATCATGTTAAACACCATTATTGCACACATAGTGAGTCCATGCAACTTATTATGTGACTTGTTAAGCAAAGTTTTACTCCTGAACTTATTTAGGGTTGACATAATAAAGGGGTTGAATACTTATTGACTCAAGACATTTCAACTTCTCATTTGTAATTCATTTGTAAAAATGTCTAAAAACATAATTCCACTTTGACATTATGGGGTATTATGTGTAGGCCAGAGACAAAAAAATATCTCTATTTAATACAGTTTAAGTTCAGGCTGTAACAGCAAGAAATGTGGAAAAAGTAAAGGTTTGTGAATAGTTTCTGAAGGCACTGAGTTTACAAAACATTACGAACACCTGCTCTTTTCATGCCAGAGACTGACCTGGTGAATCCAGGTGAAAGCTATGATCCCTTATTGATGTCACTTGTCAAATCCACTTCAAATCTATGTAGATGAAGGGGAGGAGACAGGTTAAAGAAGGACTTTAAAGCCTTGAGACAATTGAGACATGGATTGTGTACAGTGAGGGAAAAAAGTATTTGATCCCCTGATGATTTTCTACGTTTGCCCACTGACAAAGAGATGATCAGTCTATAATTTTAATGGTAGGTTTATTTGAACAGTGAGAGACAGAATAACAACAAAAACATCCAGAAAAATGCATGTCAAAAATGTTATAAATTGATTTGCATTTTAATGAGGGAAATAAGTATTTGACCCCCTCTCAATCAGAAAGATTTCTGGCTCCCAGGTGTCTTTTATACAGGTACCGAGCTGAGATTAGGAGCACACTCTTAAAGGGAGTGCTCCTAATCTCAGCTTGTTACCTGTATAAAAGACACCTGTCCACAGAAGCAATAAATCAATCAGATTCCAAACTCTCCTCCATGGCCAAGACCAAAGAGCTCTCCAAGGATGTCAGGGACAAGATTGTAGACCTACACAAGGCTGGAATGGGCTACAAGACCATTGCCAAGCAGCTTGGTGAGAAGATGACAACAGTTGGTGCGATTATTCGGATCTTGTCAATGATCTCAAGGCAGCTGGAACCATAGTCATCAAGAAAACTATTGGTAACTGTAACGAACCCTGCAGTCTGAGTCGGTTCCTGTTTGGGTTATTAGTTTTCTGCTCGGGATCTCCAGTTTCCCGAGGGTTCTGGAACGCTCCCTGCCTGGTTGCCGGGCAACGTTGCTAGGCGGGAGCTCTCTTGATTTCCACACCTGCATCCCATCAGCAATCTGCACACCTGGTCCTGATCATCACCCTTCTTAGGCTCTGTCCTAACATCCATTCCCTGCCGGATCGTTAGCCATGAACAGTATGTTTATCAGAGGATCAGCCTTAGAGCTTATAGCGTTAGCTTTGTTGTTTTGCACCTTG